GACATGACCTGACACAGACAGGTACTGGAGGGGAGGGAAGATAAACCCAAAAGAAGGGGTCTTAAAGCTTATGGAGGTAAAAGGAGAATGCCCTTGACATTCTAGGGTGCTGGGGCGGGACTCCCATACCTGGACCAGCCAGCTGCCATATTGGGGGAAGTGTAGAAAGGGGGAAAGGCTGGGAGAGAGTGATGGTTACCTCCTTGGGCTGTGGGGGTGAGTAGGAGTGAGATAGAGCAAAGTTAAAATCTGCAAGAGAAGTATCAGTTCAATTCCTTACCCCCAACTCCCTCTGCTGTCCCTAACTCCCCATGCATGTCCATACTGGGAATCTTGTGCTACCCGGTATGGGGATGGAAATGAAACTCCTTACTCCCTGGCAGGCCTGTGGATACTTTGGGTAGTCAGTTTCTCTTTGCGAAATCTGCTGGTCCACTGAGAGGGTCATTCAACAACCTAGCTGGCCTCTAACCTAGCTGGTGGAGGAGGTTTGCAAGTCACATATTGCCTTGTAAATAAGTAATCACAATTTTCCAGCCCAGCAAACCTAACCATGAAATCTTACCAGCACAATAGAATCTATTTATGCCATCTTTGCTGCCCCTCCAAAGTGAAACCTTGCCACCTGTCCCATGGGCATAAGTTGCTGACTCTTTGCGAGGCCTCTCTGAGCTAGGTCAGTGCCCTTTGTGGTTCTGCTTACTGGATCCTGCCCGGATTCAGTGGTTCTGGAATCATCAGTACCACCACCCTCAGTTCCTCCTGAGTTCCATCTGGTCTTCCTAAGGTGCTCAGAGTACATCAGATCATTGAAGGTTCCAGACTTGGTAGCACTCACCTCCCTGGTCCATCATTGTTTATTTATCTGAAGATCATTTTGTGAGTCTTTCAACTTTCTGAGTTCTTACTAGGACAAAATTGGCTGCTACCATATAGTGAGATTTGGGGAACTCTGAAATGCCCTACTTGGAACCTGATATTAAAAATATTATAAAAGCCCTGGTTGGTTTGCTCAGTGGTTAGAATGTTAGCCCTCAGACCAAATCAATGTGTTTCTCTCATGTGGATGTTTCTCTCTCTCTCTCTCTCTCTCCCTCTCCCTCTCTCTCTCCCTCTCCCCTCCCCTCTATCCTCTCTCTCCCCTGCCTCCTTCCACTCTCTCTAAAAAAACAACAACAATGGATAAAATGTCCTCAGGTGAGGATTTAAAAAAGTCATGATTTGCACAACAGCCAAAATGTGGAGGACAAAAACAAATGTCCACTGATG